CCCGCCGTGGGACCCGCACCGGACTGGCTCGTGCCTCCCGCACTCCGCCCCCTTTGTCTTTCCGTCCAGTCGGGAGAGGCGGGGCGGGTTATTTTCTGATGCCCCACGGTTGTTAGCTGAAGTGGTTATAATCGCGCAGTGACTGCCGGTGACTCTGCAGTATATTTGGAAGTGCCAGCTTCAATTCATGTTTGTGCTGTCAATCACTTCTCTATCTTTTCAGCTGGACCTTCAAAGTCAAATCGGAGGGGACAGTACAGGCAGAGGCAGGAGAGCAGGGATGAGATGCAGGCTGAGTGCATGCAGGAGAGGAAGGGAAGCCATTGTAGAGGCAGCAGTCAGACCAGGATGGCTTTGACCCTGGGCCTAGGTAGACTGTACTTGAGTTGTAGCAAGCTGGGGCAGCGGTGGGCTAACCAGCAGCAAGATGAGCCAGGAGGGTTAGAAACCACTGGGCTGGGACCAGCTGTTGGCGTAATGGCTGTGTAGCTGAACTGCCATGTAGTCTACAGCAGTTCAAGTCCCAGACCCAGTGGCTTAAACTCACGCCAGACACGTGTGCGTGCCCAAGATCCCATCCCGAGAGGAGAATGGAGGAGAAGGGATTGCAGCATGGCCATCCCCCCTGGGGGGTGATTTCTCACTTTCTGTCTCTCTGTCTCTCTCTGGCTGGCTGGCGAGCGCACATACCCTATAGCAAAAACCTCTCTCCAAAAAAAGAAAAAGAAAAGAAAAAGAAACCACCCGGGCCACACATGACCACTGCACAATTTATCTGTAGTCACCGAGGGCCTCTGAGCAACATGTGGGGTCTCTGTTGGGTGCCACTGGGAATACACAGAGGAGGGAGCTACCAAACAGCTGTGGCTCTGGCCACAGACTCGGGCTGAGAGGTACAGTCACAGTGACCCTAGAGGCTGTTCCTGAGGGGTGAATCCCATTCAGGGGGGAGGGAGAGTCCACAGCCAGCATCCCCTGGTCACATGGGGCAGATAGTGTCCTTCTGGCAGCACCAGTCTGGGCTTGGAGCAGAAGCCGTGGTTCATTCCCTGCTCTCACAGAAGGCCATATGGTCTTTAGCAGGTCATTCCTGGTCTCTAAGTCTGTCAGGTCACAGGCCCAGAGTCTTACCCTAGCCCAGGGGAAGTCCTTCCTGCTGTCTGCTCTTTGAACCTTTCCTTTTGCATCTGGGGCCCCTTGTTTCTAGCTTTTGGGGTGCTGGGAATAGCGACAGGGCTGGGAGCAACAGTTTCTTCTCTCTCCCTAGGCGGCCACATCAACAGCCGTGATGTGTGGCTCTTTAGCTCCCATCTGCACACCTGGATCAAGGTGGCCTCGCTGCACACGGGCAGGTGGAGGCACAAGATGGCCGTCATGCAGGGGCAGGTAGGCACACACTGCGGCTGTGGCCCAGGGTACTCATCTGTGGAAGTCCTGGGGAAGGCCCTTGAAGTCCCCCTCTTTGTAAGAAGGAATCTGAGGCCCCCTCAAAAAGTTAAAGGACTGGGACCAGCAGTTAGTGTAATGGCTATGTCACTGGACTCCCACATAGTCGACCGCGGTTCGCGTCCCAGACCCAGTGGCTTAAAACTCACACCGGGCGCATGTGCATGCATGCCCAAGATCCCGAGAGGAGAATGGAGGAGAAGGGATTGCAGCATGGCCATCCCCCCTGGGGGGTGATTTCTCACTTTCTGTCTCTCTGTCTCTCTCTGGCTGGCTGGCGAGCGCACATACCCTATAGCAAAAACCTCTCAAAAAAAAAAAAAGTGAAAGGGCTTGCCTAAGGTCACATAACATTAATTCTATTGATGACAGCAATTACTGTGGTAGTACAATCTAGTGGCTAAAGGTGTGGACCCTGGGGCCAGTCTAGGTTTGAATCTTTTTTGTTGTTCTTAATGTGTGTGCTACCAGAGAGAGAGAAAATGAGAAAGCACCTCCCACCAAACCCACAGGGATTTGGGGTATGCCCGCATAGGTACCCAGTATGTTTTCCAAGCCACAGGCAGGGCTGGGGCGTTAC